CCGGGCCATCGCCCTGGAGCTCTCCCTGCAGAACGTGGCCAACTATCTCATCGGCTCCCTGGCCGTCACCGACCTCCTGGTCTCCGTGCTGGTGCTGCCCATGGCCGCCCTCTACCAGGTGCTGAACAAGTGGACGCTGGGCCAGGTCACCTGCGACATCTTCATCTCGCTGGACGTGCTGTGCTGCACCTCGTCCATCCTGCACCTGTGCGCCATCGCCCTGGACCGCTACTGGGCCATCACCGACCCCATCGACTATGTCAACAAGCGGACACCCAGGCGAGCGGCTGTGCTCATCAGCCTGACCTGGCTCATCGGCTTCCTGATCTCCATCCCGCCCATGCTGGGCTGGCGGACGCCCGAGGACAGGTCGAACCCGGACGCCTGCACCATCAGCAAGGACCACGGGTACACCATCTACTCCACCTTCGGCGCCTTCTACATCCCTCTGCTGCTCATGCTGCTGCTTTACGGGCGCATCTTCAGGGCGGCCCGGTTCCGGATCCGCAAGACCGTCAAGAAGGCGGAGAAGAAGAAAAAGAAGATCGCGGACACCTGCCACTCTCCCGCCAGCCTGCAGAAGAAAAGCAACGGGGAGCCCGGCAAGAGCTGGAAGCGGACTGTGGAGCCCAAGCCCAGCGCCTGTATCAACGGGGCCGTGAGACATGGGGAGGACGGGGCGGCTCTAGAGGTCATCGAGGTCCAGCACTACCACAACTCCTCCAAAACTCACCTGCCCTTGCCCAGCGACCCCTGCAGCACCCCGCTGGCCTCCTCCTTCGAGCAGAAGAACGAGAGGAGCACCGAGGCCAAGAGGAAGATGGCCCTGGCCAGGGAAAGGAAAACGGTCAAAACCCTGGGCATCATCATGGGCACCTTCATCCTCTGCTGGCTGCCCTTCTTCATCGTGGCCCTGGTCTTGCCCTTCTGTGACAGTGAATGCTTCATGCCGGACTGGCTGGGGGCGGTCATCAACTGGCTGGGCTATTCCAACTCCCTCCTCAACCCCGTCATCTACGCCTATTTCAACAAAGATTTCCAAAGTGCTTTTAAGAAAATTATCAAGTGCAAATTTTGCAGGCAGTGAAGCCTCCCTTTTCTCTGGGACTGTCTTCACTTGCTTCCTCCAGCCCGACCTCTCTTCCGCGACAGCGTATGCTTGTGCCCGTCCCTCCCCCACTCTCCCCAGACCTGCGGCAGGGGGACCGCCGCTTCACCGCTCAGCGCCAAGTAGTTCAGACCCTTGGGCATTTGTCTGGGGAGAAAAGGCCGTGCCCTGATTCCAGTCCCTCGCCGCCCAAACAGTATAGACAAACCGAGCCAGCCCCTTCCTGAACTCCCGCTGAAAACTTAGCACTTTTCATCCAGCGCTTTGGAAAACTCACTGGCACGTGTTTCCAAGCCAAACTGTGCTCCTCTGAGTTTGCACATTACTGAGCCCGTGCAATGACACCCTCTTCCGCCACTTGCATTTATTTGGGTAAACCCTGGGTGTGCAGATCGTTGCTTGTGGTCGCACCACCTTGTCTGCCCGAGCAGCATCGGTAAAATAAACCATCCTATGCATAACCCCGTCTTGTCTGTTTTTCTGGGATGAAAAGAAGATTGCCGAACTCTGAGCCTAACCCAGAGCTGGTCGAGTAAGTAAGGACTTGGAGGGTTTGAAGCAGTTCTTTCTACAGTGGCGGACGGGGCTTGAAAGTTACTTCGCTGGCAGCGAGATTGAAATGTGAATTTCCTTTTGGGGGAAAAACATAATTGTATAACCTTTCAAGGTACTTCTGATCACTTTCCTAACTGGCATGTCTGTAGCTTATATATGATAGCGTGTTACGTTACTACCTTTCAGTGCATGGAAGTTACATTGTGTACATGAGAGGAATTTTGCTAAACATGAAGTCACCACAATTCACCTAATTTTAAACCCATTTGAATTTCCTTTTGGGGGAAAAACATAATTGTATAACCTTTCAAGGTACTTCTGATCACTTTCCTAACTGGCATGTCTGTAGCTTATATATGATAGCGTGTTACGTTACTACCTTTCAGTGCATGGAAGTTACATTGTGTACATGAGAGGAATTTTGCTAAACATGAAGTCACCACAATTCACCTAATTTTAAACCCATTAAAAAACAGTAGAATGAGGATTTCTCTTAAACCCTCTCCCCCTCCC